CGAGCCTATCTAAGTTCTGAAGAAGCTTCTCTGAAGAGCTCCCTTGACCACGTGCATGCCGACCCCGATCACGGCGTGCTGCTCACCACATTCTCTCCAAGTTTGTCCTGTTAGTTTTTACGTAATAATATTGAAAGAAACATGTAGGCAGACAGATAAACTGTGATGTTTACATACTGGGTTCTTGCCTTGGCACAGGAAAAATACGTTTTTTGTCTTTACTGCAGGAACGAACCATATCTGCCAAGAACTGCTTGGAGGTAAAACAGGCTTTGGGGTCTTCTAGGCCTTTGGCAGTTACAAGATGGAAAATGTGGGTACGGAGACCCAAAGTTAATCTCTTGTGACATATTTCCCAGAATGAATACTGCCAATAGGAACTCCTCAATCATGACGTTCAGGCTGGAGCTGTCGTCTGTGCAGCATTCACACGTACATTTTATTAATTCCTTATTCTTGAGATTTAAAGGAGATTCCTGAACATTTTACAGTTCACAGAAACGCTGACAGATGCCAGTCAGGCGTAGACTGCAGAATCGTGAACGAAGGCCTGAAAGGAAAAATAAAACTCCGCACAGCCGTGGTACCTGGATGTGCCACGGCTGTGCGGAGGCTTAACAGAACATGTTAATCCAGAGATTTGTCAGTGGGTTCTTTTTTAACTAATAGCACAGTGGACGCAGAGAGGAACCTGAGTCCTCGCTAAGCCTCTGTCAGACTTTACATTACAGGAGCACAATAAGTTGTACACTTTGAAAAGTGTACAGTTAATTTCAGATACAACGTTTTTGTGATGTGTGCTAACATGAGAAGGGGCCCTACATGCCCACAGGCCCAGGCTGCTGTGCTAAAAGAGTGGGTCCAAGGCACAAAGCCAAGGGACACACACTATAGTCTGGCTATCACACACACACACACACTTGTGTATAGACATATAGACATATACAGTTAATACAGTAACTAATGATTTTCCAGCAGAACTTTTTTGCTAAACCAGTTTTAGAGGAGAGCTGTTGTTATAGTGTGAGCTCATTAATAACTGTGATATAAACTAATATATTACCTCTATTGACAATTAGAAAAAACAAAAGGTTACATTAGGGTTTAATTCCATGGTTGCAGAGAATTTCTTATATAATCAAAGACTCTGCGGTTTCTCGTTCCACAGGAGGCACTGGTGAGACACTGGGCACTATGGAGTCCCCCCCTCCAAAAAACAAAACGAAACAAAACAAAACAAAACAAAACAAAACAAAAACACAATTTGTGGGTAAAATATTTGTCTTCTGGTAATTGTGTCTGATCAGAGCAGCTGAACAACAGATGTTACATTTCACAGGTTGTGATGTATCCACATGTCTCTGTGTTCGTATTATAAACGCCACGGTGTCACCAGGACGTAACAAAATCAGCTTTTTGAAACATTAGCAGTGAATTTGTAGCAGCAGCCTCCTGATAGCAGAAAGTTGCACAGCTGTGAGGACGGGGGCCATCTGCTGCAGCTCCACATGAACTGCAACCAGTTTCTATCCAGTGTCATAACGTGATAACCGGTATTTGCTCTGATAATACTCGTATTACAGTGTTATAGTGATACAACATTAACTATTTGGTCGCGCGATTCTGTAACGCTTCTCATCCTGGCCCTTTGTGTAAACTGTATTGTTCCGCGCGCGCGCGCACGCACACGCACAGCTCCAAACGCGAAAAACAAGTTCAGCTCAATCTGCGCGGAGACAATGAAAAAGCTCGACCAAGTTTTCCGAGGGCGTGCCGCGAACGTTCGTGCACACGGCCGCGTAGGCAGGTGAGCGAGCCGCTAAGAAACACGTCATGTCTTTTACACCACTGGAGTTCGCTTGAATGACGTCACTGCATCGAGGCACTCGAAGCACGTACACCCTACCCAAATAAAAAGTTTACCTGCTTGTAGGCGTCCAGGAGGAAGCTGTTCCAGATGGAGCGCAGCCCCGCCGAGGTCAGCATGCGGTGCCACTCTCCGCAGCCGGCGGACCGAGAGCTGAGCAGCGAAACGACGCGCTTCAGCAGAACCACCGAGTCGTACAGGGCAAGGAAGAGGCAGTTGGAAAAGAAACCGGGTAGTATCTGGAGTGTCACGAGCAGATCCTCGCCCGCCGTTCCCATCTTCTGTTTGTGCGTTTACACGACCAGTTCCTCCACCGCAGCTCTTATCTGCTCAGCTCATAGTTTGGGCTCTGTTTCGTGCTCTGCGCCAGAGTCGGTGCGCAGAACGAGAAAAGTGTTTGGAATGCGTCTCGCAAAGCGTCTCTGTTCATCAGCTCGACGATCCCTTGGCGCGCTGTCGCTCTTTTTGAAAGAAGGAACATTGTAGTTAATATTAAGCCTCGCGGCTTATCTCTGCGGCAAGATTCTGACGTCAGAAATAGTGCAATCGTTGTCTCCTCCTTCTCCTTCCTCTCCCCCGCAGCTCCGTGCGTAGCGGCTGCACTAAGCTCCAGATCGACGCTTTCACTGTTTTACCATGTTAAACTGACCAAATATAAAAGGTTATACTTTCCACACTCTTCCAGAGTATTCCAGTGATCCGGTTGTGACCATACTTTAAAAAAGTGGGAACTTTTTTTACTCAATATGTGGGTACTCTGCATTCACTCATTACTCATTATTAATCTCTCTTCTTAATCTGCTGCTCTCTTTTTGTCTGGTCTGGTTCTGCCAGAGATTTCTTCCTGTCCAAAGGGAGTTTTCCTTCCCACTGTTGCCAAGCGCTTGCTGACTGTGTCTGTATTATTGTGGGGTCTTTACCTTACAGTAGAAAGTGCCCCGTTGATATGATTTGGTGCTATATAAATACAATTTAAATAATGTTCTAATGTCCGTGTACCCATTCACGATCACACTGTTGCATTTCATAAGCTGGTTTCTGAAAACTTAAAGACATTTTTGCATTAGCGATGTTGCGGCAGCCTCTAACCATGCAACAGTTTGGTGTGTGCCAGAAGTGCAACGGTCAGGATCACACTGTCATTGTTCATAAACTGTTTAAAAAAGAAAGAAACAAACGCATCTAAATATTTTCTTTCATTCTGTCTATGCTCCACATAGCTACAGTCAAGATGACTCCCACATCTAAGCTCTGTAACACAGTAACACTCATATAAAGGTTAAATCTGCTGTAATGGTGCCATACCAGTAAAACCGCTGCGGTCACACAACAGATTTTTCCAAATGTGATTGAAAGTGATGTTTTTGCTTCTTCCTCTAACTTTTATCCAAGACATGCATTGTTGGCTGCACAATCTCATCTCCTTGTTGCTGCTTCCAAGCTCACCACATTCCCAAAGGGGCTTTTCTCCAGTTTTATGCATGACTGTTTCATGAGCAACTCACCATTGTTCATTTCAAACCGCAAAGTAACCTCTATGTCTGTTTCTTTATAAATAAGGGCTGGCATTGCAACTGTGACTCCACAATCCTGAGCTCTTATGGAAAAAACATCCTCCCTCTTGTTTGAGACATTGTTTCAGTTTATTATGGTTTGTGAGCATTTCAGTCAAGCTGAGTCATTGCCTTTGACGGGGCATTGCAACACCTTAATGCTTTTGAATAACTCGCATGTCTGCTTTCAATCCTACTGTTTGATCCAGTTGCAGCCAAGTTTTATCAAACTTCCCCTGTGAAGAAATTAGTTTGCAAAATCACAGTCAGGTTTATGAAATGTGTGTACGGCCTATCTTGTTCACAACCACATGCAAGTTAGTAATGTTAGTAAATTGGAGTTATTCTGAGGCAACAGTCTTGTGCAAACAGTTTCCATATTATCTGCATACTAAGGAGATACATTTACCTCCCGGTGGAGACAGAAAAAGACAGAAGCCTGCACCCCGACAGCAAAAAACAATGTTAAAGTCTGACTGAGGAGGAAGCCAGAAGAGGCACAGCTTTCCAAAAATGACAGTCTAAATAAATAAATAAAAAGTGATGTGGACGTGAATATCATTTCAACACGTGTCAGTTTGGAATCAAAGTTGATCAACTGAAAAATACTAACAGACTACAAGAAAAAGAAGAATACAGGTGGAAGACACACGTGATCCGTCAACCGTGGATGAGAAACTCACTACAAAAAACATCCAGACTCTCCAGCATCCACAGAGTGCCAAGACGTTACACTGTGAGTGATAACACAAGTACTTTTTAAACAACGATAACGTTTCAGATGTTCACCTATTGTCACGAGCTTTGGTTGGTGATGGAAAGAAGGAGATCGCAGATACAAACAGCGGATTTGAGCTTCCTCTGTAGGGTGGCTGTGTTCTCCTTTAGCGCTACCAGTTTGCTTTATTTGCATGAAAAGTGCAAAAAGAGAAAACTTGGAACAGTAATTTCCCAGGAGTGGCCGGCCTACCAAAACTACTGATGGGAAAAAGTTGAACTTACATTTGGCATAAAACTAACACATTTCATAAGAACATCATACATACAGTTAGCCATGGAAGTGCTAGGGTGATGGCCTTGGGCTAACTTGCTGCTTCAGGACCTGGGCGACTTGGATGTCTGGTCATCAGTTCAGGCCCTGAACACACAGATAATGATCCAAAATACATCAGCAAGTCTAGCTCTGGACTCCCTTAAAACAGATTAAGGTTATGGAGCCGTCTAGTTGGGAGGACCTTAAACATACTGTTCATGTCACGGTCCTCTAGTCCTCCCGTGTTGGCTTGCCCTTTTTCTAGCTTTTCTCACACTCTCTGTCTGTATGAGTGTGTTTTGGTTTCTTAATGGCTCGTTTTCAGAAGGCGGCTCCTTCATTGTGGTCCTCCACTCTCCTGATGAGGCAGGATTGATTTACTGATTAGGCCGATTTACTCACCTTGCTCATGTGTAATGTATGAATTATTTAGTCTGCTTGAGGCTGAAGGTTTTTCTCAGTTGCCACCAGGTCATTGCTTCACCTGTGGAAACATCTCAGGTTCAGTAGCTTTGCTGTCAATCTCATGTTGGGTCTTTCCTGGATTATTTCTTTGTGCTCCTGTGCAGGCTGCTTAGCGTAAAGGTGGCCTTCCAAGCTACTCTGTGTGTAGTGAGTCCCTGTGATCCAGCCTGCCTCAGCCCTCCTCGCTAGCCTTCATTCAATCTACTCATTTGTTTTCTACCTTGATTCCAAACTTGTTTAATAAACTCTGTAAACTCTGATTGGTCTGCGTCCTGCCAGTGAGTCATCGCAAACTTGGTGTCGTGACAGTTAACAGTCAAAAATCCTTGAATGTGGTCAAATTAACCAAAAAGACAAAACAATAAGAGTGGGTCAAATTTTCTCCACAGCCATGTAAAAAAACAAAAATCCTTGCCAGTTATTACCAATGCTTCATTGGCATTCTCGGCATTCGTTACCAAAAGGTGCGCAACAAATTACTATTTTTAGGGGACAATTACTTTCATACATTGGGCCAGGTAGGTTTGGATAACTATTTTCCTTTAATAACACAATCATGCTCAAAAACAGCTAATTTATTTATTTCTTGTCTAATATTAAAAATTATTTGATAATCTGAAGTAAATGTGTTAAAAGTATAGAAAATGTGCAAAAACATGGCAAAAATAAGGAAAAAAATCTAAGTGGATAGATCCGAGCAAGGAATATAGCCCTGCAGTCTTGAGAATTTCCCTGCTAATTAAATATTGTTATGGTTTGGTTCTGGCACGACCCAAAGAATAGATTTGGAGCAAAGTTCTACTGGAAATTTAAGAATTCTCAGCAAACAGGTAACTGGGAGTTACAATTGACCTCAGCTCAGAAGGAATCCCAACGGCTCTGCCTGAGAAGAGAGTTTAATTTAGCAAACATCCAACAGGTAGGTATTGTAGTGTTTAGTTGTAGATTAACCTGATTTTGTCTTACCTAATGAGAGGTCAGCTGAGTATGGAGAAAGTACCAGACAGCTGACAGGTGGAGAGTGGGTAGGCAGGTTATGAACAGGCAAGTGAATGTTCTTGCTGCAGCAGGCAGCTGAGTAAGCGACGTTCCAAACAGACAAGTTCTTAGTGAGGTTTTCAAGTAAAAAACTGCAAGAGCAATACAAGAATGCAAGAAGAAACACAAGGTGAGTATCAAGGGAGACCAGAAGCACAGCAAAAGGAGCCAGCATGTCACTACTTCACATGCAGGTTTGGATTTTTTCCCCCCCTTAATAATAAATACCTTCATTTAGAAACTGCATTTTGTGTTTACTCGTGTTATTTTTGTCTAATATTTAAATTGGTTTTATCCAAAACATTTAGTGCGATAAACATACAAAAAAGGGGGAAATCAAAAAGGGGGCAAACACTTTTTCACACCACTATATTTAACATGGAAGCTTCTCACGTAGTGGTAGTAAGACAGACATTCTTAGGTGGTGGAGAACAGCGTTGCAATGACAGGAAGTGGCAAGACAGAATCAAATTAGAAATTAGTTTTTTTCTGGAATGTAAAAACAAATTTGAATTGCTACCTTAACGTGGTGGAGGGGTTTGTGTGTTCGGGGTCTTTTGGTTATGGTGAGAGACCAGACAAAAAGCGATTCAAAAACCCCCTATGAGCAGAAGATCGAGGGAATAGTTCACCCTGCCTGAGGTTGAGAGATACCGGCTAAGTATAGTCTCAACGCATGGGTTGGACACTGGAACCAGTCTCCTGGAGAGTTGCCCTTGGTGAGAGGCAGCGGACCGGGGTGGGTATCTTAGTATCTCCTCAGCTTGCTGTCTGTATGTTGGGGTTTCACCCGGTAGGCGAGAGGGTTTTTTCCCTGCTCGGGTCATGGAATGGGCTCTGACTGTCATCTGCGCTTATGCGCCGAATGACAGTTCACAGTACCCAGCCTTCTTGGAGTCCCTGGGTGGGGTGCTTGAGGTTGCTCAACCTGGGGACTCTGTTGTCCTACTGGGAGATTTCAATGGTCATGTGGGTAATGACAGTGAGACTTGCAGGGGTGTGACTGGGAGGAATGGCCTGGCAGATCTAAACCTCTTCTCTTACTGGACTTCTATGCAAACCACAGTTTTTCCATAACAAACACCATGTTCGAACATAAGGATATCCATAAGTTCGGGTGGCACCAGTGTGTGTAATCGTATCATCACATCTGCAGCCATATGTTCTGAACACTCGGGTGAAGAGGGGGGCTGAGCTGTCAACTGATTACCACCTCAGTTGACAGCACAGTCCATCACCATCCTCCCCTGCCACCTGACGTGGTGGTGGGGGAGGATGCTGGAAAGACGTAGCACAAGGTGGTTGGTGCCTGAGGTGGTGGTAAACCCTGAACCATATGGTGGACACCAGAGGTGGTTGGTGCCTGAGGTGGTGGTAAACCTGAACCATATGGTGGACACCAGAGGTAGTTGGCGCCTGAGGTGGTGGTCACCCCTGAACCATATG